GTGATGGTCGATCGGGTGTCTAATTTGCCAATAACTGCAGTGATGACTTCTCCTTTGATCTCACATATCTAGATTTGAGCATGGAAATCCAATAATCGATAATCTATTACGCGAGAAACAAGAATTGTGAATTTTTTGAAATAGGAAAAGTATTTCAAATGTTAACTTTCATCTTTTCGATTGTGTGGTATGAATGCTCTATTCGATCTTTAACTAGAGGAACGCATAGTGTTTACTTCTTTTTAAATTGGGTTGGTGAAACCTAAATCATATTTTTTCTGTTAATAATGACAGAGATTTAAACACTGGATGGGAGATATTTGGTTCAAATTTGAGATGTTAACACTATAACCACTGGCCATTCATCCAACACCAAGGGTGATTACCGTGGGAAGAAATAAATAATATTGAGCATTTTGTTTAAATATTATTATTGAAATCCCCTTTGGCTCATGCTTTTGATGAACACGAAATATAGTTGGAATGAAAGTGATTTATTGAAAACCCAAAACCAAAGCTATAGTGAAATTCAATGTAAAACTAGTGTAATTCGCGTATCGTATATTCATTACTGATTCAAAACTGGCTCCACTTCTATCTATGGATATGCGGAACTCTTAGTTGTCCTAAGCTACCAATGAGATCCGAGATTTATTAGATCCTATTCGTCAGATTAAATTTGTAAACTTTCTGTGTTCCGAAATGCTTCAGAGTTTGATCACTTGTACATGTCGACCAAATGGTCCTATAAAATTACAATCCACAAGACTATCGTCTTCGTTTCAAAAGTATTTCTCATCGTATAAAACAGAAAGCTAATTATTTTATAATAATACATCAGCTGAAATTCGGTAGTCTAAAGGAGAACGCTAAATAAAGGTAGAAAACGGAAAATATCGACAATAAAGATATTGTTAAGAAACGCTTAGCTAGTTTGATTTTTTGGATATGGACTAAGTAGTCCATACTCTATTTCTTTAATTAATTTCAAAAATGTTGAATGCAATAAGTTACCACCCGGATTACTGTGCAAGATCTTTCCCACAATATCAGGGGTTTATCCACAGGTGATTTATATTGGATTTGCAGTCTTGCAATTTTAATCAATGTATACTTTTTTCGATGCCTTAGAAAATCAGTTGAAAAGTGAGATAGATCAAAGATAGACGTGGCCATCAGAGGTGATTTAAACATAGAAGGACTCAGTAGAGTTCATTCAAGGCGAAATTCTTCACTTCAGAAAGAGTCATTATCCTGCCTTTGTGTCTCAATTTGTCCACCCGACACGCATGACTCATTCACTGCCAATGTGTAACTACCAGGTAGTGGAAGGGCTTTGGTTACAGCCACTGAGGTGTCTCTCAAATCACACGAGAAGGCACACAACCAAGCATTGCGACTAATTACTGGAGGGATAAAATCAACACTCATTGATGCAATGCTCCTGGTTACAGGGAACACCACAATATGTTCCCTTATCAAAGAGAAGGCCTTGATCCTGTATAAGAAGCTACTGCGCATTCCCATGGATAAATTCTTCAGCACCTATGAGAATTGTTAAAGACTTCTTCAGGAAATCAAACACCCTTCCAGAACAAATGCGTTCACTGTCCCTTGAGACAATCAATGTCAACTCTCCTGGAGATCAATGGCTCCAAGTCTTCACCGATGGGTTATACATAGAAAATCAAGCAAACGTTGGTGCTGGTGTTTACTCTGAATTCTTCTCTTTCTACGCAGCAGCGAGCAACAATAGATTTGCTTTCGAAGGAGAAATAGAGACCACTAGGATAGCACTATCCCAATTATGTTGCCTACATACGAAATTCACCAAAGCGGTGATACTTTCGGACTCACAGCCAGCAATAAACTCAAATGGAAGCAGAGAGCCACCCAAAACAGCTGAGATATACGAATGTAAAAAATCTATCAGCTTATGAAATAGCAATACAAAACAGTGGTCCCACAATGGATTCATGGTCACAGTGGCATCAAAGGCAATGAACTTGCTGACGCACTTGCTAAGAAGGGTACAATGATTTTGCAAAGCATAGACAGGCCGATGTCATTCCACACAATGAAGACCTTAATTAGGAGAGAATTCAAAACCTCAAGGGGCAACGAAATTAAAGCTCGAAGAAAGGAAAAACAGTGGACAGTGGCACTCTCCGACATAGCCGACTGGCCAAGAATCGAAGCCGTCGCTGAATTTTGACTACGTACCGGACACGATTGTCTGGCAAATCGAAATATGCGAAAGCATTAAACGTTTAATACCTATCCAAAGTATCGATAGTGAATGCTAAGAAGCTTAATTGGGGTTTGTGCGCGATGGTCGGAAGAAGTTAACAAGACTCAATGAAAAATTGGAATTTGGCTACTTTTATAAAATACACCATTTGGATTATGCGCCTATTGCGTTTGAGCGTACATTAGCGTCGCCATGGTTGACAGGTTCGTCTGTGAAGTCAGAGGTTGCGAATGCAATGCGCTGGTGAGCGGACTGCCTAACTGTACGGTTGGCGTTTTGCCTAATAACGGTAATAGCAGAATTTTCGTTTCTCACAAAGGTTCTCAGTTAAGGTGGGGGTTAAAACTGATGTTCTAAGTGATCTTGAAATTATTATAATTAGAGATAAGGAAAATAGCACTTTGAAGACTGGTTTTATTGTAACGTCATTTGATTTGTTTCATACTAAATTTTTAGGATGTCTAAAGTCTCGCCTCACAACGGCACAAACTTACATTTAGGATTAGAATATATGTTAAAAATGAATGTGGTAAACTGTTTAATCGCATATTAATTTGTGAAAAATCTAGTCTTCATAAAGCTCGAATATATGGACTCAAATAATATGTCCTCAAGTCGAAAATACTATAAAGTATACATGATTGGATGATAGGAATTGTGTTCGCAATATACACGTATGGTTTTAACGATTATGTTGTTATTGAATCAACTAAAGACACAATTTGGATAAGGTGAAATTGTATTTGTTCTCATGATAATAAATTAAAAGTGCAATATGCAAAAGCATGTCGGTCGGGGTTGGGGTCGTGAAATCAGTGGTCATCTATGCATAATCATTTGCGTAGTCAATTAAATCAAGTTATTTCCGGTCAAATAAAGAGTGGCAAAAAGCCGGCTTCTCCACACAAGGTTCTAAAACTCTCAACTTTGATACAACTAGACAATTATTGAAATTAACTGGAAATATTTAATAAATTTAAGCTAACCCATAGCATAAAGTACTTACCTTCAAACCTGTCAAAAATATTAGTCAGAAGGATTGGTGTGAAAGATTATTTTGCTAATCATTAGCGTTGGCTCACGATTTCCATAATTTGAGACAGAAACAAAATTCTGTATCAATAAAAACAACAAAAATATTCATATATTTATTTATATATATCAAATGGCAGGCATTATGATAGTCATCATCATCAAAGAGAAAAAAGTCGAGATGGTGGGGAGGGGGAACAGAAGAGTGATTCAAAGATGTAAAAGAGACGGACACAAAGGTAGGAAAAAGGTGAGGTGTGTACTGTAGAAGTAGTCAAATATGACATACAGTGGGGTGTTCTGGTAGTTTGAAGTGAGAAGTCAACTGCCGATTAATAGACTTTTTTGCCGTATTAGTATACATAGGGGAGGGTGCACCACGTGGAGGTAAGTCTATCGCGCACCCCACCAAAAAAATATTTAATTACTCTTAAATTAGAACTTTAAGGTGAGCTTCGACGCGAGGTCAATCGTCGCAAGCGAACTAGTGTTTTGAAATAACCATTATTCTTAAGGTTAAAGCTATTGTCAGGACATTTCATATGAGAAATGTGGTTGCTACGTGAAAAGAGAAACCAGATTTAGGTGTGTGTGGAAGTTATAAACTTTTCTTTTAAAAAAGGGTTGCTTAGAAAATTGAATGGCAAACGAAAGTTTAATAAAATCAATGGAAAAGAAGGCATGATTAAGTGAAATGAATCTACCACAGGTATGTGCGAAATAATTGCCAAACAATTACATATTAAACTTCGGTGTTTAACGGTGTTTGGTGGGGCGTAAACATAAAAGCAAGAATCACATATTCCCCTGTAGAGATGTGCTCCAAGAAAATGCACGTCTGAATATTAATCCATTATCATTATAGAGGCGAAAATCGAAATATGACCAACCTATTACGGAACACTTCAAACTGCATATATATCTGTAGATTGCACTCGAAAGCAAATTTGCATAAACGTGGCTTGTTTTAAGCAAGGGAATGTTGCAATCGCTTCCAAATTATCCAAAGACTAACAATGTAAACCATATTCCCACCACTTAGCTATTTGGCATGTTTAAGCAACCCAATTCGTGATTGTACCTACCAACCTATCTGCATATTGGGTAAATTTCCGTTTTTCAATTATATCCATATATGCAAAGTCATTTTCTAATCAATATAAGTAGTCTTGGATGAAATTAAATATGTGATCGTTGACTATTTGGCTAAAATCTCAACAAGTTTCACTAAAATCAATTATGAGTTGGCAGTTCTGGCGGTCAAGAAATAATAATGGCAAATGCCCAATTATTGACACGACATGTCACTTTTAAAAGCAGTTTCGCTTGACAATAACTTATGGTAGTTAATCACTAACTGACAGGAAAATCGTCAGAAAATATCGTCCTCACTACATTACGTACAATTGTTTAGATCAATAGAATCAACTCCAAATATTTAATAATAAAAGTCAATATATGGAAATGAATAAATTCAAAGGTCGATTCTATTCCAAACCAAAAGCCAAGGGCAACTTATTTCTTCATTGAAAGTAAAGTAAGATTACCAATTATACAAGTAAATACGAGGTGTCAAAGCTGAGCACAATTATACATAAACTTAATAGTTTTGCGATTCAATTTGGGATTATGAGAAGAAACTACTTTCACACAAAAAACTTTTTTTAAACAAGTATAAAATAATCATTTACATATAAAGAAAGATAGTAACAAGTTATCAGAATTTCAAGTTAGCGGCTGAATCGCGATATAAAACCTTATAAAGCCTAGGTGCTCGACCGAAAATCCATTTGGTTCTGAGGTCCCTCAAAGCCTGTTCAGCTAAAAAATAGAATAGATTATTTGAGAGACAAAGAAGTTACCTTGGGATTTTGACACATATACCACTTCTATCACCTTGCTCTGCTTTCGAACGTTGGAATCCCAACGTAGTCTAATGTTGTCGATAGCTCCATAATTATGACAAATTCTAAATGCTTCGAACTCGTCGACAAAAGGGGGCAAATTTGCGATGATAATTTTAGGAACATGCCTAGAGCACTCATTCAGACCTGGTGGTACCATCTGTAGGTCAGACTGCTTAAAATGATGCTTATTCAAACTCTTTTATTACCTGATAGCCTAATTTAAACAAACTTCTCTTTAGGTCACACAAGTAAAATTGATTTAAACTAAAATGCAACTTATTTGCAATGTATTGTTAAATTTTGTGAATTTTTTTAAAAAAAAATTATTATCATTTTACTTAGCTTTATGTGTTAATCTTAAAATTATTACAAATAAACTTGAAGAAATTCGTCATTTATTACAAGACTTTTGATTGTAAATGGGTTGGGTTGGCGTAGTAGATTCGTTTGGAAAAACTCTCTCCATTTCGCTTCCATGTCACATAGCAGTAATTTTTGTATTATACAGAATGTGGGACCTTTAATTGCATTAAGAAGAAAATATCTTCAATGAAAAAGCTGATCGTTAGCATTTCGAGCTGTTTATTAGACATGTTCCTCATATTTTCTCAGCCAGTAGATCCAATAATCCAAAGCAAACCTGTTTGCACTGTTTAGTCGAGCATCTAGTGTGCAATAAGTCATTCTCTATATTATTACTGGAAGGATCGTGGTTAGAGTGAGCCTTGACCCACCATGTTAATATAAAATAATGTTTTTTAGCGTTAATTCTCACTAATGGAAATGAAATACTCGTTAAGCGCCGCAAATTGCATTTGAGGTCAAAATGCGAAAGGAAATAACTAATACACAATTTGGTTCATGTATTCCTAGAAGGGATTAGAACTTGGCCAATAGGCAGGGTGGAGAGGCGGAGAGGGGGTGGGGAGGGGTTGGTGTTCCAGTTGAAATATAAAATGCTCTCTGATTTTCTTACTACCCAATAAGAGCACTCAAATCACAAATTGATCAGGTGTACGCCTGGATTTGATGTCTGAGATAGTAGATCTTACCGTGATTAATATAAAAGAGACCAGGAGATCATGAGTATTTCGTGTTCTTCAAGATACACTAAATTCTCTCTGATAGATGGTAATATTGCGTGCTTTACATCTGCGAAATTACATCTTCAACGGTAACGCTTTCGATTTAGGTGGAAGTGATCATGAATATGTGCCGAAGACGATTTTACCTCTAGATTTCTCCATGATATGAATTTTCATGATTTTCAATGTTAATGCCATTAATACCATTTCCAAAAGAGAACAAACACCAAAATCGGTGATTTTATGAATGTTCTCGAAACTTCCATATGCTTTCCCTCTTGAGGTCACCTGACCTCATAATTGGCTCATTTGTTTTGGTAATTGAATAAAGCTGAGTAGCGATGGAGTGTAAGTGAAAACTTGTCTAAATTACATACTCAGACTATGCATACTTGCCATCAAATGAAATCGCAAAAGCTGTTGTTGGCAGATGAGCAATAAAATATTCTTTAACTTTTAATCTATGTGGGGTGCGCGATAGACTTACCTCCTCGTGGTGCACCCTGGACAACGTATTTTCTTACGGCAAAAAAGTCTATCAATCGGCATACGTTTTTGACTTCGATTAATTATGATTAGCTTTGAAAAAGGCTATAAGAAAAATCGCCCTCGTCAGGTCGAATCACAATGTCTTCAGATCCTCCAGTGGAATGCTGGAGGAATGTCTCCGGACAAAAAGATCCAAATACAGAAAATCCTACAAACCTATGATGTAGACATTTTCACAATTATGGAAGCTAACATTTCGGATGACAAACTGAAGTATTACCAATTCTCAGGTTACACCCTGTACAATCTACCTAAATACCGGCAAGTTGCAAGTGGAATTCTAACTGGAGTAAAAGATGGCCTAACCTCACACTACGACCTAAACAAGAGTATGGGCTCGACAGAAGACAAATGTGAAATAATCAGATTAAATGTTTGGAAATGTCAAAACCAATTCAAGATATATGCAGTCTATAATCCACCCCAGAATTGTCCAAACTTTGACTTTCTGAACATCTCACACAAAACCATAGTATTAGGAGACTTCAACGCCCACTCCACCAGATGGGGCTACAAGGATACAAACATAGCTGGAAAGGAAATTAAAGACATGCTAAACAGCAACACTCTGGAACTTATTTACAGCAATGAGGATCCGGCTACATATTTGCACTACAATGGATCCAGAACAACTCCTGATTTACTCTTGGCTTTAAGCGACATCTGTGAGCAGACACACCGCAAAATAATTGACGATCCTGGTTCTGGTCACAAACCAGTCATTGCTAGTATTACCATCGGCAGCAAAAGCATGTCAAGGAAAGTGCCAACTAAG